ACAAATCTTTGTGCTCTCGACAACGCAGTAAAAAAAAAAAAAAAAAAAAAAAAAAAAAGAGGGTCACTTAGCGCACTTCACTTTCACTTTCACTTTTTTTGGGGCACTTTCATCTTTTAACTTTTTTTTTTCGATTAATTCATTCACTTTCAGAAAGGCAATGAGGGCTTTGGGTTGCATTTGTATATTTCGGATTTGTTTCTGTTGCTGTGATCACTCTGGCTTTACGTACACATAAACACACACACACACACAGACAAACACACATACACAGATACACGCACACATAAATAAACACACACATACAAAAAAAACAAACCTACACACATAAATAAAATGCCAACCAAAAAGTCAAAGCAAGAAAAAAATCACACACACACACACGCAAACACACACACACAAACTCACACACACGCACACACACACAAACATAAAAACACATACACACACAAACACATACACACAACCCCCGCCCCACCCCACACACAAACTCACACACACAACCCCCACACCCCCCCCACACACACAACCCCCCCCCCCCACACACACACACACAACCCTCCCACACACACACACAACCCCCCCCCCCCACACACACACACCAAAGGCCAAAGTTCAAACTCCACCTCTACCCTCACAAGACGTACCACAGCTACCTCAGAGAGTGCCCGGTGCCAACCAACAGTGCCACACCAGGGCAGCGTTGACGACAAAATACCCAGCGTGGTTTTCCCGGTCTGTACCAACTGATGACGTCATCACCTCATTCGGACATTTTCCATTTGTATTTATCAGATTATCCAGATTGTTTATTTATCTGTAAATGGATTTTAGATTTATAGGAAAATCAATATTATTTTGTAGATTTCTTAATCATTATTATTATTTTTTTTCCAAATGGGTTTTGAATTCTATATGAGAGAGATGAACATACATATAAATATATTAAGGGGATTGAAGTCATATGAAAAGTGACGGATGGAAATTTTAATTCTTCCCCCAATTTCTGGAATTTCCGATTGAGGGCGGGAGGGGGGGAGGGGGAGGGGGGGAGGGGCGAGCGGTGGAGGTAGTCTTTCCCCACAAAAAAAAAAAAAAAAAAAAAAATGTAATACTACACTAATTTTTTGTCCTTTAGATTGCTGAATCTCGGTCAATGCTCTTCCTGACCCAATTTGGTATCATTTGGTATCACGTGGTATTGTTCTTTTGTATTTGGTGTTATTCTTTGGTATTTGCTGTTATTCTTTGGTATTATTAGGAATCAGTTGGTATTATTTGCCATCATTCTCTGGTGTTATTAGGTATCAGTTGGTATTCTTTGCTGCTATTCTTTGGTACTATTTATCATTCTCTAGCACTTGATATCATTTGGTATTGGTATCATTATCTATTATTTCATATCATTTGGTATTGTTTGCTATCATTATATGGTATTATTCTCTGGTATTTGCTATCGTTTGCTATCATTGGTACATATGATGTCATTCTCTGGTATATGGTTTCATGTGGCATTATTTTATCCTTTTTCCTGGTACTTGGTATAATTTGGTATTGTTTTATATCTTAGATTATTCTCTGATATTGGTATTATCTGATATCTGGTTTTATTTAGTATTATTTCTTATTACTCTTTTGTATTTATTTTATCCACTGGTATTTGGTATCACTTGCTATTATTCTCTGGTATTCATAATCATTTGGTATCATTTACCACCATCTTCTGGTATCTAGAATCATCTGGTATTATTTGCTATCATTCTCAGATATTTTAGAATAATTCGGTATTATTTACAATCATCGTTGTTTGGTATAATTTGGTATCATTCTCTAGCATTTGGATTTTTTGTGTATTATTCCTCTGGTATTTGGTATCCCTTAGTATTATTCCCCTGGTATCTGGTATCAGGTATTTTCCCTGGTATCTGGTATCACTTGGTATTATTCCCCTGGTATCTGGTATCCCTTAGTATTATTCCCCTGGTATTTGGTATCATTCGATATTGTTGAATGGTATTATTAGTGGTTCAGTGTATTATTCTCTACACTGGACGCTTCCTGTATGTGAACAGATCCTGTTTACATTTTCTTTCTCTCCATTAAAGGAAAAGTTCGTGTGTGTTTTTTTCCCTACGCGTCTGTCTGTTTTTGGTGTGTTTATTGTGTTTGTTGATTGGTGTTTATTGTGTTTGTTGCTTGGTGTTTGTTGTGTCTGTTGCTTGGTTGTTGTCTTGGTGTTTGTTGCTTGGTGTTTGTTGCTTGGTGTTTGTTGTGTTTGTTGCTTGGTGTTTGTTGTGTTTGTTTGTTGTTGTGTTTGTTGCTTGGTGTTTTGTTGCTTGGTGTTTGTTGTGTTTGTTGCGTGTACGTTTGTTTGTTTTGGGGGGACTTGGTTGTGACTCGCAGACTGATAGCTTTAGATTCGTAAAATATATGATAATGGTCATGATTTTGATGATGATAATGATGGGGATGAGGATGGTAATGATAATAATAGATAAAATGAGAACAGGAGTAGTAAGAAATTATGACAATTGCGTTAATAGAATAATGATAATAACGATGATGATGATGATGATTATGATGGTAATAAAAATAATGATGATAATAATAATAATAGGAATGACTATTCTACTCGTACTACTATCATCACTAGTACAAATACTACTGATAATAATAATGATAAAATAGTGATGAAAAATATACAATTTCATGATAATAATGATAGTGATAATCATGAATAATAGAATATATCATATATAATAAAAGTAATAATGGTGATAATGATAATACTGATAATCAATATTGCACTTTATTATTTTTTCCATCAGCCTGTGTGTCCTTGCTCTCTACGTCGTTAGGATAAGGAAGACACGAAGACACAAAGCACAGTGTGTTCCTAGCTAATGAGAGTGCTCCATCTGTAGGTCCTTGAGCTGTCAGCTTGTCTCTGTCTCTGTAGGTCCTTGAGAAGCCCCCAGCCAGAATGAGAGTGTTCCATCTGTAGGTCTGTAGCCAATGAGAGTGCATCTCAGCCAATGAGTAGTAGTCCTTGTGTCAGCCAATTGTTCCATCTGTAGGTCTTGAGCTGTAGCCAATGAGAGTGCTCCCCTTCTGTCAGCCAATGAGAGTGTTCATCTGTATCCTTGGTGTCAGCCAATGAGAGGCCATCTGTAGGTCCTTGAGCTGTCAGCCAAGTGCTCCATCTGAGGTTTGAGCTGTCAGCCAATGAGTGTGTTCCATCTGTAGGTCCTTGAGCTGTCAGCCAATGAGAGTGCTCCATCTGTAGGTCCTTGAGCTGTCAGCCAATGAGAGTGTTCCATTCTGTAGGTCTTGTTCAGCCAATGAAGATGTGCTTCCATCTGTAGGTCCTTGAGCTGTCAGCCAATGAGAGTGCTCCATCTGTAGGTCCTTGAGCTGTCAGCCAATGAGAGTGCTCCATCTGTAGGTCCTTGAGCTGTCAGCCAATGAGAGTGTTCCATCTGTATGTTCTTGAGCTGTCAGCCAATGAGAGTGCTCCTACTGTGGGTCCTTGAGCTGTCAGCCAATGAGAGTGCTCCATCTGTAGGTCCTTGAGCTGTCAGCCAATGAGAGTGCTCCATCTGTAGGTCCTTGAGCTGTCAGCCAATGAGAGTGCTCCATCTGTAGGTCCTTGGGCTGTCAGCCAATGAGAGTGCTCCATCTGTAGGTCCTTGAGCTGTCAGCCAATGAGAGTGCCCTCCATTCTGTAGGTCCTTGAGCTGTCAGCCAATGAGAGTTCCATCTGTAGGTCCTTGAGCTGTCAGCCAATGAGAGTGTTCCTTCTGTAGGTCCTTTGAGTGTCAGCAATGAGAGTGTTCCATCTGTAGGTCCTTTTGTGTCTGTAGCTCATCTGTAGGTCCTTGAGCTGTCAGCCAATGAGATTTCCTTCTGTAGGCCTTGGAGCTGTCAGCCAATGAGAGTGTTCCTTGTAGGTCCTTGAGCTGTCAGCCAATGAGATGCTCCATCTTAGGTCCTTGAGCTGTCACCAATGAGAATGCTTTCCAGCTCAGCAATGAGAGTGTTCCTTCTGTAGGTCCTTGAGCTGTCAGCCAATGAGAGTGTTCCATCTGTAGGTCCTTGAGCTGTCAGCCAATGAGAGTGTTCCATCTGTAGGTCCTTGAGCTGTCAGCCAATGAGAGTGTTTCCCTGTGAGCTGTCAGCCAATGAGAGTGCTCCATTGTAGGTCCTTGGGCTGGCTCAGCAATGAGAGTGTTCCATCTGTAGGTCCTTGAGCTCTCAGCCAATGAGCTCCATCTGTCTGTCAGCCAATGAGAGTGAGGTCTCAGCCAATGAGAGTATTTTATCTTTAAGTTCTTGGACTCTTAGCCAATGGGAAGGGTCCATCTTTATGTCCTTGAGCTCTCAGCCAATGGGAGGAGTTTATCTCTTATGTTTCTCTGCTCTAAGCCAATGGGAAGGGTCCATCCATATGCCCTTCAGCTCTCAGCCAATAGGGATGGTTCATCTTCATGTCCTCGAGGGTTCAGCCAATGAAAGTGGTCGATCTGTATGTCTTTGAATTCTTAGCCAATGGTAATCATCCATTTATATGTCCAGCCATATGCAAATGAGATAGGTTGCCAGCTTAGCGATAAAAAAAACTTTATCGAGCTATTAACAATCGTTCATAGAATATCTAGGGAGTGAATTATTCGCTCTAAATAAATGAATAGAAAATAGAAGAATAAGATAGAAAGTAAATCAGAGATCAGAAGATAATAAAATAGATGATAATTAATAAGACAAATGAAATAAACAAAAATGTTAAACTTTACCCTAATGTTAACTATATACTTGATAGATTATTCAAATTCACCAAATGAATTATTTATTGTATTTCTCTCAGCGAACCCTCATCGACCAATTCAAATACGATCACTAATAATGATTTAATCTTATCATATCACGTGATTGATTTCTATTATATCCATCAACCTTTTTTTTTAATACCACATTCTTTACATATATACTCACATGTATAGCTCATAATTGTGTAAATGTTGATTACCTGTTTAAGTGTATTTTGTATAGTTTATTTGTACACACACACACACACACACAACACAAAACACACGTACAGACACACACACACACACACACACACACACACACACACACACACACACACACACACACACACACAACACACACACACACACACACACACACACACACACACACACACACACACACACACACACACACACACACACACACACACACACACACACACACACACACACACACACACACACACACACACACACACACACACACACACACACACACACACACACACACACACACACACACACACAACACACACACACACACACAACACACACACACACACACACCACACACACACACACACACACACACACACACACACACACACACATACGCACGTAAAGAAAGGAAAATTATAGAACGACGATTAAAAACAAATAAGGAAGCACATGACAAAGGAAACAGATTCTCGATAAAAGTTTATTGTTGATAAAACCAAACGAACAGATTTAATAATAATAGTAAAAAGGCAAACAAATGACTGATAATGATAAAGAGTAATAATAATAATAATGACATAAGCAAAGAGAGTAATAATAGTGGTAATACAAATGATAAACATTAATACGAGCATCGTAATAATGAATATAGTTATAAAAAAACAATCAACTTGATAACTGTAATAATTATACGTAAATGTGTAATGATGATTATGAAGAAAATAAACATAATAATCATACAGATAAGAAAATTATCATAAACATAAGTATATGTTGAAAGCAAAATACCTAAACATTATAGCAATAACGATAATTATAATGATGGTAATGGTGATGATAATTAATAAGATAATAATAATAAAACTAATGATAAAAATAATAATGATAAAGCTAATGATGAAAATAATAATGAAAATAATATAATAGTAATCATGATAGCAACGCCCATAACAATATCAATAATAATAATAACAATAATGATAATATAAAAAAAATATAATAATAATAATGATAATAATACAAAATCGACAATAATGATAATGATAACAAAAATACAACGAATAACTGATAATAAAACTACAAACAAAAGCGCCAAAAATCAAGGAGAAATACGAGCCTAAAAATTTTCGCTCCTCCTCCTGGCGATGACGAAGGCGAGAATCCGACGCAGACGATGATGCGATGACGGGGAGGGCGATCCACCCCCACAGACCTCCTCCCGCCCTTGCTGTCGGCGTGGGCGTGGGAGATAAAAAGGGGTTAAGTTAAGGAAAGAGGGAGAAGGTCTGTCAAGGGAGGAGAGCTGGAGGAAATGTCTTTAGGTTCGTTATTATTACACACACACACACATATCTATGTGTGTGTGTATGTGTGTGAAGTGAAATGCATCAATCATTATTTTATTTTATCAATGATGATGTCTATGTGTATCCTTCCTTTTTTCTTGACTGTCAAATTTCCTGTCCAATAATGATATATTTTTATTAATTAAATTAAACAAACACACACACACATATATACTCATACATATGTATGTATATTGTGGGTTGGAGGGAGGTGAGGGAAGGGTAGAAGGGTGGGTGGAGGACACACACAGACACCACACACAGCACACAGCACACACACACACACACACACACACACACACACACACACACACACACACACACGCGCCAACACACAACACACACAGCACACACACACACACACACACACGCACACACACAACACACACACATGTGTAATATATTTCTGTCTCCTCCACTCCACTCCATCAAAAACCCTCCGTACCCCCCCTCCCCCCACCCTCCCAACCCCGACCCCCTCTTTCCTCACCTGCGACCGGGTGACTATATCCCCCCTCCTCCCCCTACCCCCCTCCTCCAACCCCGACCCCTCTTTCACCTGCGACCGGGTACTATCCCCCTGCCCCCTCCCTCCAACCCCGACCGCCCTCTTTCCTCCCTCCCCTGCGACCGGGTGACTATCCCCCCCTCCTTCCCCTACCCCCCCCCTCTCCCCCCGACCCCCTCTTTCCTCACCCAACCGGGTGACGATCCCCCCTCCTTCCCCTACCGCTCACCTGCGACCGGTGACTATCCCCCCCTCCTTCCCCTACCCCCCCTCCCTCCAACCCCCGACCCCCTCTTTCCTCACCTGCGACCAGGACTATCCCCCTCCTTCCCCCTACCCCCCCCTCCTCCAATCGCCCGACCCCCTCTTTCCTCACCTGCGACCGGGTGACTATCCCCCCCTCCTTCCCCCTACCCCTCCCTCCAACCCCGACCCCCCTCTTCCTCACCTGCGACCGGGTGGACTATCCCCCCCTCCTTCCCCTAACCCCCCTCCCTCCAACCCCGACCCCCCTCTTTCCTCACCTGCGACCGGGTGACTATCCCCCCCTCCTTCCCTACCCCCCCCCTCCTCCAAACCCCGACCCCCTCTTTCCTCACTGCGACCGGGTGACTATCCC